GTAAGCCACGGAGGCCTGACAGATGAGTGAGTCTGTCCCTCCGTATCCACTGAGGATTTTTCCAGGACATTCCTAACCCATCCCACCCCCACCCCTTAAATAAAATGGCATAGTATTTGCATATAACCTACACACACCCTCCTGCATACCTTAAGTCATCTCTAGTTACATGTAATGCCCACCAATGTGAACGCTATGGCTGCTGTGCTGGACTGCTGAAGGAATAAGGGTGACAAAGTCTGCACATGCTTAGTTACAGATTTCACATCTGGAATATTTCTAATCCCTTGTTGGCTGAATCTAGATATATTAGCAATTCTCAGTTTTGTGTGTTGGTGTGGGAAGGAGGGTCTAAAAGAACGGCATCCTGGCCGGCGCCGCGGCTCACTAGGCTAATCCTCCGCCTTGAGGCGCTGGCACAACGGGTTCTAGTCCTGGTCGGGGCACCGGATTCTGTCCCGGTTGCCCCTCTTCCAGGCCAGCTCTCTGCTGTGGCCAGGGAGTGCAGTGGAGGATGGCCCAAGTGCTTGGGCCCTGCACCCCATGGGAGACCAGGAGAGGCACCTGGCTCCTGCCATCGGATCAGCGTGGTGCGCCGGCCACAGCGTGCTGACCGCGGCGGCCATTGGAGGGTGAACCAACGACAAAGGAAGACCTTTCTCTCTGTCTCTCTCTCTCACTGTCCACTCTGCCTGTCCAAAAAAAAAAAAAAAAAAAAAAAAACCTAAAAAATAAGAGAGGGAATAAGGGAGGGAGGAGGAAGTTTGTAATTGTAAAGCTGTATAGTTCTGCATACATTTCTACGGACTGACATCCGAAGGTACAGTTCAAGAACTTGCCGTGGAACCTCAAATCCCCTTAATTAAGCTTGGTGGTAATAATGCCTTTTTTTTTTTTTTTTTTTTTACAGGCAGAGTGGACAGAGAGAGAGAGAGAGAAAGGTCTTCCTTTTGCCGTTGGTTCACCCTCCAATGGCTGCCGCAGCCGGTGCGCTGCGGCCGGCGCACTGCGCCGATCCAAAGGCAGGAGCCAGGTGCTTCTCGTGGTCTCCCATGGGGTGCAGGGCCCAAGCACCTGGGCCATCCTCCACTGCACTCCCTGGCCACAGCAGAGAGCTGGCCTGGAAGAGGGGCAACCGGGACAGAATCCGGCGTCCCGACCGGGACTAGAACCCGGTGTGCTGGCGCCGCTAGGTGGAGGATTAGCCTATTGAGCTGCGGCGCCAGCCAATAATGCCATCTTATGTGTTAAAGTGATCATATTAAGTGTTAAAGTGAACATATAGATACGGTTAAGTGTTAAAGAGATCATATAAATAAGATCAAGTGTCTGGTAATAATAATAGAATTAAAAAGGAGAGAATATTCCAACATAGGAAGCAGTCCACATAGCAGACTCATAGAATGACATTTGCTCTAATAGCACCCTGACCTCAGAATCAGCCCTTAAGGCATCCTGGTCTGCCTGAAAAGCCCAAGAGACAGAACAATATAAATGATCACTTAAATGAATGCAACAGGTATTCTTCTGTGTCTGTGTGTGCTATTCGCCTGTGTTGCTGACTCATTGATTTCCGTTACTGTTTAGATAGGTGTAGCATCATTTGCTCAGTCCTTTCTGATTATTTGGGTCATTTTGTTATTAGGAGTACTGCTGCCTCACTGTACGTATGTGTGCCCTTAGATTGGATGTATAGCTGGGGATGTTTGTGCTGGGTCATGCGGTGTGCCTAGGTTCAGTTTGAGTGGATAATGTTGTAGTTTCCAAGTAGTTTATATTTGTGTATCCTTGTCAGCAGTCTGAGTTGCTCCACTTTTCCTTGTTAGCAACACCCTGTTCTTAAAAGTCTGTTTCCTAGGTAACTAATGAAATTGAATGTCTTTTCTTCCATGGGATTCCTGTGGAAATCCTTGCCATCTTTTCTGTTGGGCTGTCTGCCTTTCCCTGCTGGATATGAGCCATTTGCTACATATCTTCTTCATATCTTACATCTGTGGTTACCTTCGCATGTTCTTGATGGTGTCTTCCTAGTCTTCCATCTTTCTCACTATGATTCCTGACCCGAATCAATTAGCTAGCAGATCCTATCAGTTTTACCTTTTAAATGTCTCTTAGTTATTTATCTTCTTTCCTCAATTCTGCTGGCCAGTACCTTAACACGGGCCGTCACTGCTCGTGACCTCGAATATAGATCAGATCCCTTTTAACTGCTTATAGACTGGCTTTTCTAGACACTCTGCTCCTCTGCTTAAAATCTCCTGGTGGAACCTTTGAGGCTGCGGCATAAAGCTCAGCTCTCCTGACCTGGCTCTGCCTTCTTCCTTGTGTGTATTTAAGGTTTGTGTTAGCTTCCCACTCCGGGATGCAATCTTGGCTGACTTTTTTCTCCAGTGTCTTTTTTCATATTCCTTTCCAAGGAGAGGATGTAGTAGTTGTTAATAGAGCCATAGTTATTACCATTTTAAAGATTTATTTGTTTGTTTGAAAGAGTGGCAGGGATCTCCCATCCACCAGTTCACTCCCCCAAATGTCCACAACAGCCAGGTCTGGGCCAGGTTGAAGCGGGGAGCCTGGAACTCCATCCACCCACGTGGGTGACAGGAGCCCAAATACTTGGGTCATCATCTGCTGCTCGTGAGGTACAGTAGCAGGAAGGTGGATCAGAAGCGGAGGAGTCGGGATTCAAATTGGCATCCCAGGTAGCAGCTTAACCCACTGCACGCCACACCTGCTCCACAGCCAGAGTCACTGCCGGTCTCTCTGTAACCTCTGGGCTGAGGCTCTGCGGGCTTGTCTGTGTTGGAGTGCAGTGTTGATAGGCTCATCTCTGCCTTCCGCCAGCCACCCAGGTGCACTGTGGCAGACTTCTCCCGCCTCTTCTCCCTGGTGGGAGTGCCTCAGTGCTGATGACGTCTGGACTTCTCCCGCCAGCTCCTGTGTCCTGTTGACCAGAGGCATTGCTTTGTGGGTGTTCCAGAAGCATGTTCAGCTCAGTAAGTCCCAAACTGAGCTGCTTCTCTGTCTCCCAGATTCGGTTCTGTATTCTCTGCCTTTTGGTGCGCCCTCTTCTGGTGGACCTCCCTAACACTGCTGTAAGAACCCACTTCAGGTGGGGCTTCTGTGGCACTCCCCTCTCCGTGCCCCTGCTTGATCTTCTCTCTCCTGGCACTGAACTGTGTCTGCTCCCCCCGTGACGGGGTGCGTCCTCAGGATTCTCTGTCGCCGTTCTGCACGGTGCCTGGGGTGAGTAGCTGAGGACTGACTGAGTACCTTCAGCTGAGCAGCAAGCTCGTCGTCTCTGCCTTCCTCCCAACACCGTCTACTTGAAAGTGGCTTTGCCTCTCCAGGCTGGGGCATTGCCATCTCTCAGTGCTGTAGTCATGCTTAGCTCCGTTTCTTCTCTTCCTGAGCCCTTCCGTTTCCATTTCCCGAGCTGTGGTTCAGGCTCTCGGCTTGTCTTCGCCAGGATGTTTCACCTGTTCTCGGGCTATCAGCCCCACTTGTCTTGGAAATTGGGATGAGAACTCTGCTCAAGCACAGGTGCTTATCTCCTAGTTTGAAAACCTTCAATTCTCTTCTTTTCTGGCAAGATAAAATCCAACTTTTTTTTATTTATGAGAAGTTGTATCTTAAGGTTTATTTAAGTGTAATCAACATGTGAACAGTTACAGACGTGTCTTCACGTCAGTGGTATTGGAAGTTCTCTTCCTTACGTGGCATACGTTCAGTGGAGCCCTCGTGAGCTGATCTCACTTCTTCCTTTTTGGAAAATTCCTTTCCTGGGTGCTGCTGCGTGGTGTAGTTTGTTAAGCCTCCATCCCATGTGGACACCAGTACGTGTCCCAGCTGCTCCTCTTCTGATCCAGCTCCCTTGCTAATGCCTGGAAAAGCAGTGGAAGATGGCCCAAGTCCTTGGGCCCCTGCACCTGCCTGGGAGACCTGGAAGAAGCTCCTGGCTCCTGGCTTCAGCCTGGCCCAGCTCCGGACATTGCAGCCATTTGGACAGTGAACCAGCAGATGGAAGATTTCTGTCTCTCCCTCTCTTTGTAACTCTGCCTCTCAAATAAACAGATACATCTTTTAAAAATTCCTTTCTTTCCTTCATCGCAGAAACCACGAACTTTATGCACTGGCCTTAGCAGTCGGCGTCCTAGGTTCATCCTGTTTACGGGAGAGGTCTTGGAAAAGGTCCTGGAAAATACGTATGAGAAAAACTGCTGTGCGTGGGTTGAAAATTTTTTCACCCCAGAACAACCTTCAGTCCCACTTCCCACAGACGTGTGAAGGCCCCTGCGTGACGGTTGCTGCAGAGGAATGTGGACCCGATTGCCGTCTGTTGTCCCTAGACAAGCGGCTTCCCATCCCCAGACCTGCTTCCGCTCCTTCCGCTCCTTTCCCTCTCCGCCGTTTTGCCCTGGAGCTTGGTTCTTGCATTGCCCAGCACTTTCTCTCCCGGCATCTGCCAGAGTAGAGAACATCCCGCCCACGGCACTCACTGGGTCTGGCCCTGCCGAGGCACCCGCAGATGGGACTCGGGTTCAGCAAACCCATCGCAGACAAATTGTTGAGCTGAGAATTGTGTGTGGCCTGCGTGTGAGGTTCTAAATCTCCCAACGGCTCCTGCAGACCAGAGCTCCCCCGCCCTGATCATGGCTCCCTGTATGTTGGCAGTGTATGCTTTAGGCCTTGCTGCAGGCGCACAGGCCTCTTCAGGGCTCCGTCCGGGTGAAGGTTTGCTTTGTGTGATCCACACTGTGTCACTGGACTTTAGGTAGCAAACCTGATTGGGCTGTGATTATTTTTGGAGGGGGGAAGTTAAGTTCTAGTTGATCACTAGGAGGACAGTTGTAAAGGCCCAGGCAAAGCAGGGTTTGTGGAAATTCACTTAGGTTACGTGTAACTCTCATAGGCATTTAAACCTGATTTTAGTGTCTTTATATCAATGCTAAAAAAAAAAAAAATTGTGTTGGGCCTGGAATGAATTGTGTTTCTCTTTACAGCCGGTTGCTGAGCCAATCCCCATCTGTAGTTTCTGTCTTGGTACAAAAGAACAAAACCGAGAAAAGAAGCCGGAGGAGCTCATCTCCTGCGCCGACTGTGGCAACAGCGGTACGTGACCTCCCCGTCCCCTCAAACGCTGCCAAGCTGGGAGGAAAGTAGTGTGACTGCCTGGGTGTCCTGAGCCCTGTGAAATCAGCCTCTTAACTTCATTCTGATTTTAGGTCATGAGACGAGCCTCTGGGTTGAGTGTGTTGCGGAGATGTTTCAATTCAGTTCACTTAGGCCGGCGCCGCGGCTCACTAGGCTAATCCTCCACCTAGCGGCGCCAGCACACCGGGTTCTAGTCCCGGTCGGGGCGCCGGATTCTGTCCCGGTTGCTCCTCTTCCAGGCCAGCTCTCTGCTGTGGCCAGGGAGTGCAGTGGAGGATGGCCCAAGTGCTTGGGCCCTGCACCCCATGGGAGACCAGGAGAAGCACCTGGCTCCTGCCTTTGGATCATCGCGGTGCGCCATTGGAGGGTGAACCAATGGCAAAGGAAGACCTTTCTCTCTGTCTCTCTCTCTCACTGTCCACTCTGCCTGCCAAAAAAAAAAAAAATTTTTTTTCAGTGCACTTAAGTCAGGTCTCAGGTGGTTCTTAAATTTTGCCATCGAACATCTGCTTAACACTCAAACAGCTGTCCGTGGGAAGTTACTGCTGGTTTCTTTAATAATCAGAGCCTTATCTTTCTCGGTTTATGCCTTAGGCTTGATGAATAGATCCAAGATGATAACAGTTTTTTCCTTGATGGAAACTTACCTATATCGCATTGTGCAATAGTGTTGACACTGCCATGTGGGGAGCAGCGTGCGATTCCGGGCCCTGAGAAGGATTGTGCAGCCCCTAACGTGTCCTTTCCGGGATATTCCCGCCCTACATTCTAAGAACTCACTAGACTTTCGAGGAAGGCTTTGGTCCTTGGCTTCCTTTTCAGTGTCTCCATCAGTACAGTACGGATTCAGTCCAGAGACCAGCAGCCACGCTGTCTGCCTCAGGAGGAAGGGGATTTAACACGGGAGCTACATACTCATGACGCTGTCTAGGGCTGGGCGTCACGGCAAAGCCACCCCCCCCGGGGGGGGGCACTGTGTCTGCCTGCGGCTGCAAGAGGCAGAAGCAGGAGCCGTCGCCACCCCATGGCCGCTGTGGCGAAGAGCTGAAATGCTGACCTGACAGCCGGCACAACCGCTGCTGGTGGCCGGGAAGAGCAGTTGGATGCTGTTGTTTCCATGACATCTGTCATTAGAACACAGCCACGAGGAAGACCATGTCTTTGCTTCATTTCTTTTTTATTTTTTTAAAGATTTATTTATTTACTTGAAAGCCAGAGTTACACAGAGAGAGGAGAGGCAGAGAGAGGGAGAAAGAGAGAGAGAGAGAGGTCCTCAATCCGCTGGTTCACTCCCCAAATGGCTGCAACTGCCGGAGCTGTGCTGATCCAAAGCCAGGAGCTTCATCCAGGTCTCCCACGTGGGTGCAGGGGCCTAAGCACTTGGGGCCATCTTATGCTGCTTTCCCAGGCCATAGCAGAGAGCTGGATCAGAAGTGGAGCAGCCTGGTCTCAACCGATACCCATATGGGATACCGGTGCTTCAGGCCAGGGCGTTAACTTGCTGTGCCACAGTGCCGGCCACCCCCCCCCCCCCCGCAAAGATTTATTTAGAAGATTTATTTTATTTATTTGAAAGACAGAGTTACAGAGACGGGTAGAGACAGAGAGAGGTCTTCCATCTACTGGTTCACTCCCCAGATGGCTGAAGCCAGGAGCCAGGAGCTTCTTCCAGGTCTCCCACGTGGGTGCAGGGGCCCAAGCACTTGGGCCGTCTTCTACTGCTTTCCCAGGCCATAGCAGAGAGCTGGACTGGAAGGGGAGCAGCCGGGAGTCGAACTGGCACTGCAGGCAATGGCTTTACCCACTATGCCACAGCACCAGCCCCTGATAGCTTTTATAATAATAAAAATTGAAAGGTGACAGAGCCCAAACCTAAGGACAGATGGAGCTGTGGTAAAACATGCATACATTGCTGGTGGTAGTGGATGTTCTGTGATCGTTTTGGAAACTGTTTTGGCAGTACATATAAGCCTGTTAGACTGTACGGATGTTTAATTCACCTCACTGTCTAGTGTCACTTAGAGGATCTTACCCTACGGAATTAACAGAAGGAAAGAATCTAAACGTGGACTCATCCATGTTGGTGGTCTCTCCCTCTCACAGTTAACAGCAGGGACGTGGCCACAGGCGTTGTGATGGATAGGATCAGTGGGATGTGATCAGCTTGAGGAACACGAGGCTCACTTGAGTGTGATAGTGTTAAAAAGCACAGCGGCAATGCATACGTTCTGTCACTGAACCGTGCAAGGACTTTGAGCTCCACTGACAGGGAGAAGGAGCACAGGAAGGCGGTGTTAGGACTGTGGGCCAGGCTTTCAGCTCCTCCCCCAGCTTCCCTCAGTGCTAGTGAGGTCTTAATGACAAACTCGCCACTTGACCAAGGAATTGAAAAGAGGAGACGATGGGGCCAGTGCCGCGGCTCACTAGGCTAATCCTCTGCCTGTGGCGCCAGTACTCCGGGTTCTAGTCCCAGTTGGGGCGCCAGATTCTGTCCCGGTTGCCCCTCTTCCAGTCCAGCTCTCTGCTGTGGCCTGGGAGTGCAGTGGAGGATGGCCCAGGTGCTTGGGCCCTGCACCCACATGGGAGACCAGGAGAAGCACCCGGCTCCTGGCGGCCATTTGGGAGGTGAACCAACGGAAGGAAGACCTTTCTCTGTCTAAATCTGCCTGTTTAAAAAAAAGAAAAGTTTAAAAAGAAAAAAGAGGAGACGATGGAAGTAATCAGCCCTTTCTCTCACCCGGGAAAAATGAACATGACCAGCTTTTATAAGAGAGGGACAAGTCTGTAAACACGAAGTCATTCACCTTAGTGTTCTTCTGTTAGGGTAATAGCCAAGTGTTCACGAAGAGGAAACGGGCATGTGGGTTATGGTGTATCAATGCAGTGGGTGCAGTTTTTCAGGGTTGAGGGCAAAGTGATTACCCTGGAAGTTTGAAAATCAAACTGATGCTAACTCTTGGGATAGGAATAGTTTTTTCTCTTGCTGTTGATTCTGATCACAATAAATTTTAAGCACTGCATTTGCTTTTAGTTTTAGCTTAAGTGTCTTAAATCATGAGTAAACAATGCATTTTAAATGATTGGACTTCTAGTATGTATTTTTAAACTGTAAAAATAACGTGTTATTTTAAAAATGAGACCATAAGGGAAATGTAAAATCGTTCTCCAAAATCATTATGGTTCCATTTTTTTAAACAGATGTTACCATTGTAAATAGCTTTTCATATGTTCTTCCAGAAATGGTCTGACCATAGTTTGTATTTATATAGTATATATGAACATATACATAGCAGCATGTGTACAAACATAATGCTTTCATGTCACCTGAATGAGAATTTTGGGTTTGTCAGGTTTCTAGTCCAACTGTGAAGAGGTATCCTGAATTCTGTTTGGCATTGATGTAATAGAATTGTGATACTCCATCCTGATAAGAGCTGTGTGCCAACCCTCCAGGGACACCTTGCTTTATTAGATATATATTTTGTATTTAAGAACATGGACTCTCTGTACATTGTTTGTTTAGTACAATCACAAAGTAATTCTTGATTGCTTCATTCATGAATCTTTTTCCTCTTAATAGGTCATCCATCCTGTTTAAAGTTTTCCCCCGAGTTAACAGTGAGGGTTAAGGCCTTGCGGTGGCAGTGCATCGAGTGTAAAACATGCAGCTCCTGTCGAGATCAAGGCAAAAATGCAGTGAGTATCTGCCTTCCCAAGTGGCTGTTTGATTCCACAGTAGAGTGTGCAGCTAGTGCCTCCTTCTAAGTATGCCTGCTTGTTTTTCAGTCACTGGTTCAGTAGAATATGGCATGGTAGCCTCCTTAATTTATATGTCATTACTTTAGAATACTCGCTCATTTAGACTTGGATTCTTTTGGGTCATTTATAAAGTGTCTGACTTAGATTCTTGCGCAGAAGCTAAGCTACTTTAAGGGACTACTCCTGAAATGTCTTGGAGTTGTCTGGAGGCTTGCGCTCGGGAATGGTCATTTAGTATATTCATTACAGGGCAGCCTTTTAAAAATGGATGAAAGCAGATCATGGCTAGCTTACTTCTGGTTGTTGGATATACCTGAAAGTAATGAGACTGCTTTAGCAAAGGATTGTGTTTGCTAACTGAGACTGTTGCATGTAGATCCAGGAAACGGTGTTTTGGTACCTCATCTCTTTGATATCTTTGAAGTTCCCTAGGTATTATGAAGTCCTGATCCCGACGTTTCTGTTTCATAAGGCTACGCAGAACCATTCTTTCCTCTCCTTCTCCTTTATTTATTTATTGTTTTTAAGGATAACATGCTCTTCTGTGACTCGTGTGACCGAGGCTTTCACATGGAGTGCTGTGATCCACCGCTGACACGAATGCCCAAAGGTGAGACATCTTTTCTGATGGGAATACGAAGGGATGTGTTGGTGGAAGTGTTCTTTAGCCTTATGTGATACCTCAGAATACTGCCTTCTTTAAAGGAGGGGATGAAATTATGTTAGCTCGTGTTGTGATATCTCTAGGTGTCTAATGTTAAAGGCACTGCTTACTGTTGCTCTATTCTTTTGACTCCGGTGCTAGGGGAGGTCTTTGGTTTGAGTGCATAATTGCCATGGAGAGCCATCTTACTATATGTTTATGGGTTCTCTAAAAGAAACATTCAGTTAGTCACTCCTGTTTTTTCCTATCACAAATTCCATTTCAACTCTGCTTCTGCGCTTTATTAGATGTCTATTTGGAGAGAGTTTTCCTGCTAATGGAAAAGGACTCAGCCTTAGGTTATAGCTGAGTTATCTGCTTGAGGCTGTTACTTGAATTACTCTTAGGCTATTCTATTCATTGCTACCTTTTGAAAAATCTTGAATTTGTACCTTGTAAAAGAATAAATACTAACCTTTTCATTCATTCGGAGGTTGGGCAAGGAGCCTTCTGAAACTCCTTCAAGATACAAAAGATTTTCTTTGGACTTCTTTTCCTGTTATTTAACTCCCACAAAAGAAGCTTTATAGCAGCTTAAAGCAGGAAACATTTTATTTTTAAATTATTTCATATTTAGAGAAGAGTGGCAAAAATAGTACACACACAGAAAAGCTCTCCTTATGTTTTTTCCCAGCTTCCTAGCGTTATCATCTTACAAAACCACAGTAAATTATTGGACTGAGGACGCTGCTGTTGGTATGATGTAGCTAATCTGTAGGCCTGGTGTCTGGACCAGTGTCTGGTGTGGGATCCCGCATCACCTTGAGTGTGCTGCCTCACCTTCGTTGCTTCCCTAGACTGTGTCACTGCTGGCCTTGTCACTCCTGAAAAGCACTGGTCAGCTACACCACAGAAGCCCCTCAGTTGAGGTTTGCCTGTGTCTGTGTGGTGCTCTGAGTTTTGACAGTGCTGCGGAAGTGATGTGCGTCACAGCAGGGCATGTAATAGGGATGCGTCGTGTCCCTGGTCACGTTAGCACTGATCCTTTATTACAGTGAGGAAACCTCTCTTTTCCCCTTTGCCCATCAACATTAGTATCTGTGAATGATTCTGCTTTTTAAGATTTATTTTATTTACTTATAAGTCAGAATTACATAGAGAGATATCTTCCATCTGCCGGTTCACTACCCAAATGGCTGCAACGGCTGGGGCTGGGCCAGGCTGGAGCCAGAAGCCAGGAGCTTCTTCCAGGTCTTCCACATGGGTGCAGGGGCCCAAGGATTTGGGTCATCCTCTGCTGCCTTCCCAGGCACTTGGGCAGGAACTGGATCAGAAGTGGAGCAGCCGGAACTCGAACCAGTGCCCATATGGGATGCAGGTGCTTCAGGCTGGGCCTCTAACCTGCTGTGACACAGGCGCTGGCCCCCTGTCCATGATTCTTGGCTGTACCAGTTATTACTGGGATGCTTGCATAATGGTGATTCTGTCTTTCCCTATTTCTGCATCTGTTGATTGGAACTCTGCTATAGGAAAGGGCTTATCCTTTCTCCTGTGCTTTGTTTTTCAATTATTTGTACATTATGGACTCTTGGGTATTTTTCCAGGGGTTAACTTCCGTTACTCAGATTTTTTTTTTCTTACATTGTCACTCATATTTGGCTTTGCTGTTGGGAATTCTTCATGTTGGTGCCTGTGTCTCTTTGACATGCTTCCATTATTTTTGAATGCTTGTGTTTTGGCACTACAAAATGTTTCAATTTATCTTGTCTCTTTCCTGTGGAAATGGAATCAGCCATTTCTCTATGGACACCTGGTTTCTTCCTCCCTCCCTCCCTCTCTTCCATTCTTCCTTCCTTCTGATATTAGACTCTAATTTCTGAGTCCTAGATGTAGAACAAGGTTTTTTTTTTTTTTCTTTTTCTTTGTTTCTTAATTATTTATTTGAGAGTAGAGGAGCACACTCCAATTCACTAGCTCACTCCCCAAATGCTCACGCTGGCCAAGGGGCCCAAGCTGGGAGCCAGGAACTCAGTCCAGTCTCCCGGGTGGGTGGTAGTCATCATTACTTCCTCCCAGGGTCTGCACTGCAAGGAGCTGGAATGAGGAGCTGCAGCCAGGAGACAAACGCAGGCTCTTTTGATAAGGGACATGGGTGTCCCAACCAGCATCTTCATCACTAGGCTGCATACCTGTTGCTGGAGCAGAGAGCTTTTGAAAAGATTGATGGAGGCATTGATTTGGAAAAGTAAAAGAGTGCACACACGAGTGTGGCTCGATCTTTCATCTGCTGGGTCACTTTCTGAATGCCTGCAATAGCCCCAGGTGGATCACACCAAAGCCAGGAGCCAGGAGTTCCCTCTGGGTCTCCTGCGTCAGTCATCTACTGTTTCCTAGGTGAATTAGCAGGAGTTGGATGGGCAGCAGAGGAGCTGGGCCACAAACTGGCACTCTGATACGGGCTGCAGTGTCCCACGCAGCAACTTACCCACTGCACCACCACGCCCTCTGTGAGCGGAGTTCTAACCAAGAACCAGTGGCCTTCATCCCTGTGTGAGCTGGAGGGCGCGTGAGGGTCCCTCCCACTGACCTGTAGGGTTGCATGTGTGCGTTTTCATGGTTACTTCTGTGGGAGGCTGAGCGCCTCACCTAGACTCCGTGAACTCATTCAGTGCATTTGTAGCTACTGCAGCTTCACCTGGCATTTCCTTTATTTTTAGGCATGTGGATATGTCAAATATGCCGACCTAGGAAAAAAGGACGAAAACTTCTACAAAAGAAGGCAGCACAGATAAAACGGCGCTATGCTAATCCCATAGGACGTCCAAAAAACAGGTTAAAGAAACAAAACACGGTGTAAGTTGTTCTTGTGGCAAGGTGAGGGGAGAAGAGGATAGGGTTTTCTCTGCAGTAGGATTCGCTTGTTTTCTTTATGAAAAGTTTTCCATTGTCACAGCTGGCGTGTCCACATAACACTTAGGAGCCTTCAGTGAGGTGCCAGGCGCTTCACTTACATCATTCAGTCGTTAACTCTCCCAGCAACCCAGTGGAGCGTGGTACTGTTGCTGCTCGTGTTTTCCAGAAGAGGAAGCTAAGGCGTAGAGAGATGAGCTGGTACCAGGTTACGTAGTAGTGTGGAACTGGATTAACACCCACACACTCTGGCACCAGAGTCTTACCTCTTAACCCTGCCTTAACATTGCTTCTCTTACATAAAACACAGGAGAGAAAAATTTAAGTTTTGGTGGCATTTCCTAAGATCTCTCCTGACCCAGGAGTTGTTCGTGTTAGGTATACAGATCACTGGCAGGGTTCTGCCCTGACAGCCAGATCCCATTTTTGTGTTCTCCCGGTGTAAAATAATCTGAGTGTCTTCATCTATCAGCAGACATGAGACATTGTGGACTAGGAGGCTGGGCTGTGACTGGAGGAGGTGGGGTATGGTTCAGTAGCTAGTTTTTCTGTATTTGTTTTCACTGTCTCTACTGTAATTCACCTTTGCTGCTTTGTAAAACATCTTCAAAAATATTACTTGTGTTTTCTGTCCTGAAGCTTGTTTTGAAAGTAGTGTAACTGAAATGAATGAGTACTGACAGTCTGAATTACACAGACCAGTATTGAAGTCCGTATCTTTAACCTGAAGTCAAGTTCTATTTTTTCTGTCAAATGCTCTTTGGACCCCTCACTCTGGGAAGTGAGTAGTACCTCTCGAGTTGGTGTGGAGATTGCGGTGGTCGCAGGCTCCATACCTGGAGGGTCCTGCCAGCTCTGCTCCGACTCCGCGTACAGGTGGAGACACAGGTGCTTGGAGGCTGCGTGGTTTGTCTAAGATGCACAGCTGGGTCAGGGTGCGGTTCCGACACTCGGAAGTGGCTTTTGATTCCTGACGTAGGGTTTGCTTGTTGTGAATAGCAAGGCTGCCTGAAGACAGGTCTTCCTCCCAGTGGTATACTGACTCAGAGCTCATGTATAGTGTACAGGACATTCATGACTGTGGATGTGTATGGAATTTTTAAATTGTATGCTGCAGACTAAATAGAAATGTTGTAAGCCTTTCTTTTTAATAGTTGCATTTTTTCCCCTCTGTGATTCTGTAGATCAAAAGGTCCCTTCAGCAAAGTCCGCACTGGCCCTGGAAGGGGACGGAAACGTAAGATCACTCTCTCCAGCCAGTCCGCCTCATCCTCAGAGGAAGGCTATTTAGAGAGAATAGATGGCTTGGACTTCTGCAGAGAGAGCAGTGCCCCCTTGAAGTTCAACAAGAAAACCAAAGGGCTCATCGATGGCCTTACCAAGTTCTTCACCCCTTCCCCCGATGGGCGGAAACCCCGGGGGGAGGTGGTCGACTACTCGGAGCAATATAGAATCAGGAAAAAGGGCAACAGGAAATCGAGCACTTCGGACTGGCCCACAGGTAAGAGCATGCAACCTGCAGTCTGCAAAAATGGATTAGTAGGAGTAGCCCTCACAATCTGGAAGAGATTTTTATTTTATTGTCACGCTGGCTATGTAATATGAGAACGTAGTAAAAATACATATCTAGATGACACTGGGGTCGGTCACTGCGGCAGTCACTTTGAGGCCGAGGAGGAAGCTGCGCAGTGGGCCAGGAGGAGCTCTCAGGGAGGCTCTGGCAGAGCCCAGACAAGCTGCCCGCAGGAATCGGGGGGTAGCCTTGAATGAGGTCAGCCTCGCACTTCCTAGATTGCTGAGTGAACCGTGTCATGAGGTTTTGGGTGTTCGCTTTATTCCTGGAAGGAAATTGGAGAAAGGGGGGTGGGTCAGCTGCTGTTGATGTAAGCATGAGATCCAGATTATATGCACATGTAACTAGGATAAGGCTGTTGAGTTTTCTGCTTCAGATTGTGGCAGATAGCTGTACGTTTTCATGGGTGTGTTAGAGAGAATATGACCTGCTCCAGAGAATTTGCTATGTTTCTGGCTCAGTTCCCTGGTTTTAAAAGTAGAAAGCATCTGTGGAGAGGGCTTAACAGTGTAGCAGATAATTCAAGTCAGAGAAGAATTTGATTAACTGTCCAGATGATTAAGATTAAGAGAGTCCCGTAGCTGAGCCGTAAGTACAGAGAACCCACCAGGAAGCGGAGAGGCCTTTGAGGAATGTGTAGGCATGCCGTCTCGGGATCACAGGGGCCAAAGGCGCAGTGTGACTCCTCTACTGGAGGGGAGGCCCTCAGCCTGCGGACCCCGACTGGTAAGTGGCCGTGTTCACTGCGTCTCCTTCCTGCTCCTTAAGACGTGGTTCGTCAGTCCAGAGCAGCAGAGGAAATCCTCAGCGTGTCGTGTTCTCCTTTTTAATGCTTGGTTGATTGGGCTTTCACCCAAGTGGCAATCAGCTAATTCCAAGGACTTAAGACTTCGCATGTCTTCGTCAGCCATTGAAGCTGTGGATAAGCTGCAGTCTGAGCATGTCTAAGATGCAGGCAGTTTCGGTTGATCTTAGGAGGAAAGTCTGAAGGCATTCCCTAATTTAAGACATTTTTGAATTATCCATTTGTACTGGAGCTTGAGAAGAATCTAGAAAATTTTAGGATGAGAACTTGTTAGAGCAAATGTATAACATGTGTGAGAACCAGTGTTAAGCTCTTGTTATGAGTTTTGGAGTTCAGCAGCCAGTTTGTACATCATTTTATACAGTACTGCCAAGTGCCTGCATCCACCCATGTCCTGCACTAGGGGGCGTGAGAGTTACGTAGTCAAGTTACCTTTGGCGTGTACTTGCTCTTTTTTTCAGTTTGGGACTATTGTCATCAGGAATCCTGGTCCTGTAGCTTCTGGTCCCAGCTGAGCACAGACAGTGTATACACGCGGTTGACTTGAAAAGAGCTGGCACCGATAGGTCTTTGCAGCCATGCTCACACCCAGGAGATGAGGCCATCAGCAGTACTGTCTTCGGATATATGAAATAGAGTTTGTGCTTCTTAGACTTTTTCCTGTTCTGCCTATTAAAACAAAATCTGTTTTAACCAAGTTTAGATTTGGTTATGTATGTTTATAGGAAGCTTTAAGTTTTAAGGGTTTTCACTCTAGGGTAGATGTATATAAATATTCATTATTATTAATGTGTTTCTAGGAGTTTTTTTTTTTTAATGCTATCCTCTTCTTTGATATATAAATAATGTAAGATCTTAGTTTAGAATGGCGTCTTCTGAGAAGTGCAAGTCACGTACGCGTGCTCTCTGTGTGTGCAGACAATCAGGACGGCTGGGACGGCAAGCCAGAAAGCGAGGAGCGACTCTTTGGGAGCCAGGACGTCATGACGGAGAAGGATATGGAGCTGTTCCGGGACATCCAGGAGCGAGCGCTGCAGGTAAGGTCGGATGCGCAGGTGGACAGTCAGGCAGCTTGCTCGCGGAGGAGAGGCGGGACTCATCACACTGTGGGTGAAGCCAGTAGCAGTTCACCTGTAAGTTCCTAGAAGGGCCGTGGTTTTGTGTGTATCTAACTGCTGGTTATGGTTTTCCTTTCAAACCTGTCACTTCTTTGGTTTTTCAGATAAACACATTGCTTTGACGCACAGTGTTAAATGAGCTTCGTTTATTTGTTGTCTGTCTGATTGTATGAAGAAGAGTTTGGGATTTAACCAAAAAGCAAACAAAAAATAAGCTTCTTGTGAGCGATAAATGCCCATTCTCATTAATTCAAGAACTATTTGTTAAAAGCTTCTGTCTTAATCCACTGTGATACAAAGCAAGATACAAATGTACAAAGAGCCTGCTTATGTGCCTGATGCTGGAGGTGCCGAGGTGAATGACAGACTCCTTTCCCTCAGGTATAGTCTGGGAGGAGACTTGTCAGTCCTAATTCACTAACGTGCAAAATTCAATGATAGATTCACAGTGTTAGGGAAGCAAGCACCTGCCAGTGCCTGGGGCTGTCAGAGGAGGACTTGCTGAGGAATCCTTTTTTTAATTTGATAGGCAGAGTTAGACAGTGAGAGAGAGAGAAAGACAGAGAGAAAGGTCTTCCTTCCATTGGTTCACCCCCCAAATGGCTGCTACGGCTGGCGCAGCGTGCCGATCCGAAGCTGGGAGCCAGGTGCTTCCTCCTGGTCTCCCATGCGGGTGCAGGGCCCAAGCACTTGGGCCATCCTCCCGGGCCACAGCAGAGAGCTGGACTGGAAGAGGGGCAACCGGGACAGAATCCGGCGCCGATATGGGATGCTGGCGCCGCAGGCGGAGGATGAGCCTAGTGAGCTGCGGCGCTGGCAAGGAATCTTATTAAAACGTATGGAGTAGTTTCTCAAGATGACAGGCAAGAGGGTCACATATAAACAGAAGGACTCCTGCATGGGGGGCAGGGGTCCCAGCACTTGGGCCATCTTCTGCTGCTTTCCCGGGCCATAGCAGAGAGCTAGATAGGAAGTGGAGCAGCCAGGACTTGAGCCAGTGCCCATATGGGATGCTGGCACCTCAGGCTGTGGCTTTAGCCACTTCACCACAGTGCCAGCCTCAGAATTTGGGGATTAATAGTAATGTGAAACCATTGAGTAGTTTCTCAGAAGGAATTAGCAAGATCAGATTTGTGTTGAAAGTGGGTTTGGACCTGAGCAGGAGTGGAGGCGGGGAAGCCACTCTACGGGTGTTTCCGGTGACCTGGAGCACAGAAGAAGGCGGCTGGGACAAGAGATCGCGGTGAGAATGGGAGAAAGGAGGTGGGTTCAGAATGTGTTCTGGAGGTGGAGTCAGCGGAACAGAACTGGATGGTAGATTTGAGGTGTGGTTTGAGGGAGCAAGAGGTTCTCAGAGGTGACTTCTGGGTTTTCTAATGTGATATAATTGAGAAAGTGGTCTGAAAGCTAACTTGGGAGTCTACTGATGAGATCAGAATATAGATTCTGTGTGTGGAGTATACTCTATATAATATAGAAAAGATTCATGAAGATAATTCGGGGTCAGCTTTGAGAGCATAGATATAGCTTGCTAGAATCTGCTTCAACTTAACGTTTCATTATCAGGGTCTAAGATAGTCTTAGAGCGGCACCAGCTAGAAACAGGTGATAAAGGAATCCATCCAACAACAACCCATCCTTCACTGGGTGACTACTGAGTCCTAGAAACTATGACAGATACAGGGATGTAAGACAGACAGTTTCTATTCTGTTAGAGCTTACAGTCTACTAGGAAACCTGTTCAAAAAAGGAAACTGATACTTGTTCATAAGATTATCTTGATTAGTTATACTTTTGTGTGGAACATTATCCAGACCAAGAATTACTGAAATCTTAGTAAGATTTTTTTCGAAAATGGTGATTCATTAGTTGGTTTTGTTTTGTTTATGAACTTGGGACAGTGTTCTGTCATTAGCTCTATGACATATGCTTATGTAAAGGAGAACTCACAAAGGAAAAACGGAAACATTAAAAAAGAGGAGTATAAGTTTTGTTTTAGAATTTTATTTCAGTTATATATAGGAGCTTGTTGATAAAATGATGTTTCCGTATGTAAAGAATTTCCACTTTTTCTTTTAATTGATTTACAATAATTGTACTCATTTATGGGGTACATTCTGGTATTTTGATACATGAATACTGTGTAATGATTAAGTCAGGGTAATTAGCATAGGCATCACTTCAAATTATTTATGCATTTATCTTTGTTAGGAACATTGAAATCCTTTCTTCTGGCTATTTTGACATTTATAATAAATTATTGTTAACTATAGTCACCCTAACTGTTCTGCAGAACATGAGAAATTTACATATCTTTATTTTTTAAGATTTATTTATTTATTTGAAAGAGTTGCAGTGAGAGAGGGAGAGAGCGAGAGAGCGAGAGAGATGTCCTCAATCTGCTGGTTCGCTGCCCAGATGGCCACAATGGCCAGGGCTGGGCTAGACTGAAGCCAGGAGCTTCTTCTGGGTCTCCCATGTCGATGACGGGGGCTCAAGCACTTGGGCCATTGCCCACTGCTTTCCCAGGCCATTAGCAGGGAGCTGTGTTGGAAGTGGAGCAGCTGAAATACGACAGCCCGTATTGGGTTGCCAGCATCGCAGTGGCAACTTGCTGCACCAATGTTGGCCACACGTCTCTGTATTTTTGTACTCGATAACCACTTCTGTCTCCTCCCCCCTTCCCTCCCTCTGTTAACCATCATTTTTGAAAGCTAGTTTTGGTGTGGCATAATTTTAAGATGTCCCTTGGCTTTTTAAAAAATATTTTTTCCCAGAATCCTGTATTTAAGGGATACAAAGTTCATGCATTTTATAAATACAACTTTAGGAACATAGTGATTCTTCCCACCCTTCTTCCTCTTCCTTCCTCTTCCCACTCTTATGTTTTACTAAGATCTATTTTTTTTTTTTTTTTCCTGATCCGAAGGCAGGAGCCAGGTACTTATCCTGGTCTCCCATGGGGTGCAGGGCCCAAGCACTGGGGCCATCCTCCACTGCACTCCCTGGCCACAGCAGAGAGCTGGCCTGGAAGAGGGGCAACCGGGACAGAATCCGGTACCCCAACCAGGACTAGAACCCGGTGTGCCAGTGCCGCAAGGCGGAGGATTAGCCTAGTGAGCTGCGGCGCCGGCCCTAAGATCTATTTTCAATTAACTTTATACAGTTAAGATTAACTCTACACTATAAAGAGTTCAACAAACAGTATGAAAAAAAAACCTCAATAGTCAAGAAAGGTCTGTTCAAAGTCATTGCTTCTCAGATTGTCAGTTTTACTTCTATAAATTGCCTTGTAGGTGCTCTATTATTATTAGTTACCATGGATCAGGGAGAACATAAGGTATTTGTCCTTTTAGGGCTGGCTTATTTCACTAAATATGATGTTTTCCAGTTTCATCTATTTTGTTGCAAACGACAGGATGACACAGATGACAGGGTTTCTTTGTTTTTTTAAGATTTATGTATTTGAAAGTCAAAGTTACACAGAGAAGGAGAGGCAGAGATAGAGAGAGAAGCCTTCCATCTGCTGGTTCACACCCCAGTTGGCCACAACAGCCCGAGCTGCGCTGACCTGAAGCCAGGAGCCACGAGCTTCTTCCGGGTCTCCCATGCGGGTGCACGGGCCCAAGGACTTGGGCCATCCTTTACTGCTTTCCCAGGTCATAACAGAGACCTGGATCAGAAGTGGAGCAGCCAGGGCTTGAACCGGTATCCATATGGGATGCTGGCACTACAGACATCAACTTTACCCACTATACCACAGCTCCGGCCCCAGGATTTCATTTTTTTAACCATTGTGTAGTATTCCATGGTGTACATATGCCATAATTTCTTTATCCAGTCTTCTGTTGATGGACATTTGGGTTAATTCCACATCTTAGCTATTGTGAATTGAGCTGCAAAAAATATTAAAAAAAATATATATATACACACACATATATATTTATATATATATACACTTATTATTTGAAGGGTAGAGTTTAGAGGTGGGGGTGGGGATGTAGAGAAAGGAGATTCTTCCATCTGCTGATTTACTCCCTAAGTGGCCGCAACAGCTAGGGCTGAGCCAGGCCGAAGCCAGGAGCTTCTTCCGGGTCTCCCACGTGGGTGCAGGAGCCCAAGGACTTGGGCCATCTTCCACTGCTTTCCTAGGCACATTAGCAGGGAGGTGGATCAGAAGCAGAGCAGCTGGGACTTGAAACAGTACCCATATGGGATGCTGGCGCTGCAGGAGGCGGCTTTACCTGCTGCTCTATAGTGCTGGCCCCAAAGTGATATCTCTTGATACTAGTGAAATTAGGATAGAGGGAAGGAGGCTGTTTAGTGTATTAAGGCATTCATCCCTTAGTTGTAAGTCACATGTTCAAGGTTGCCTAGCTGTATTTTGAACTTCATTCATGTGACATTTTAGCACAGTTTTCTAGTACTTGTAAAATTCAAGTTAAGAGCCTAGGTACTAGAAATGAGCAAGCAGCCAGCTCAGTTTGGGTTTCTTCAAACCCTCTCTCTGCTGAGTGACCTTGGTTAAACAAGTTAGTTATTAGATTTGTTGAAAAGGAAACAAGCACTGAGACACCCATATTTCATATCAGAGTGCCCAGTTCAAGTCTCTGACACCCATGCTTTCTGTCCAGCTCCCTGCTAATACACCTGGGTGGCAGCAGTGATGGCCCACAGACTGGGGTTCCTGCCACCGACGTGGAGACCTGAGTAGCTCCTGGCTTCAGACTGGCCAACCCCAACTGTCGTGGCCATTTGGGAATGAGCCAGCAGACAAAACATCCCATCCATCCTTCCACATCTCTCTCTCTCTTTATCTCCATCTCTCTCTCACTCACTGTGCCTTTCAAATAAATCTTTAAAAAAAGATTTGTTGAAAGGGTTAAAGCTGGTATTTTCAAAGCTTTTCAAGCACTGTA